CGCCCCAGACGCAGTCTCCCGGGCAGCCGGCCCAGCCGGCCCCCATGGTGCAGCTCCACCAGAAGCAGAACCGGATCACGCCCATCCAGAAACCCAGAGGACTCGATCCGGTGGAAATCCTGCAGGAGAGGGAGTACAGGTAGGGGCCGTGCCGTGCTCCGGGGTCTGGAGTGGCTCCCTCTTCGCTTTCCTCCCACCACCACCGGTACTTTCGTCCTCTTGAGGCGTACCTTAACGATTCCCCGGCCTGTTTTACCTCTTATTAACGTGCGACGTGCAGAGATCTGGAGGGACAAGGGGGTGTACGTTTTCCTTGGAGCTTCTCAAGGCACCTCCCGAAATCTCGTCCCTCCTGCTTTCCAGGGATTGTCACCGCTGACATTTTATTAAAGACCGTGGGTGCCTGTCTGCTGGGGGGGGAGCGTCTCTGCTGTGCCAATCGATTAAAACAGAGTTAAAACTCCAGACGCCGAGCAGCCGCTCAGCTGCCAAAAGCCTCCATCTCGCTTGAGATAAGGCCTCCACGGACCAGAGCTGTACTTGATAGCTCCTCGTCAGGAGAGGAGCGAAAGTGAATTCGTTGTGCTGGTCCCTGCCTGCCGTGAAATCCCGTCTCCTTCCTCTACAGGCTGCAAGCTCGCATTGCTCACAGAATCCAAGAGCTGGAAAACCTTCCTGGCTCCCTGGCTGGTGACCTGAGAACCAAAGCTACCATTGAACTTAAAGCACTAAGGCTGCTTAATTTTCAGCGACAGGTAGGTTGTCTGTCAAAGGAAATCTGGTTTATTAACTCGCTGTGTGTGGGAGCTGCGGGCGGCACGAAACTCGCACTGTTGTAATATTTTGCAGCATCGCCCGTGGAATTAATTCCTTTTTTTTTTTTTTTTTTTTAATCTGAATCTCTCCAAAAAGCTGCGTCAGGAAGTCGTGGTGTGCATGAGGCGAGACACGGCCTTGGAAACGGCCCTGAACGCCAAGGCGTACAAGCGCAGCAAGCGGCAGTCCCTGCGCGAGGCTCGCATCACCGAGAAGCTGGAGAAGCAGCAGAAGATTGAGCAAGAACGGAAACGCAGGCAGAAGCACCAGGTCAGCTGCGACGTGCTGCACGCGCCGTTTTCAGGGGCACCGGAGGAGTTGGGCAGCTGGAGTTGGCCGGGCTGAACTTTTTTAGGGAATTCCCTTTTTTTAGGGGATTAGAGAAAGATCCTCTTTGGTCTAGATGAACGTCGTTTGGTCTAGATGAACGTCGTTTGGTCTAGATGAACGTCGTTTGGTCTAGATGAACGTCGTTTGTTCTAGATGATGGTTGTAGATCCCTTCCAACCAAAATATTCTGGACTAGACAATGGTTGTAGATCCCTTCCAACCAAAATATTCTATTCTATTAAATATAAGAGGAGTCAATCTCACTTAACTTACGCTGTTAGATGTATTAACTTAGCAGAACACTTAAGTGCACGAGTCCTGACGCTGCCTGTTTGCCGTTTCCTTTCCCCCGCAGGAATACCTCAATAGCATTCTCCAGCACGCTAAAGATTTCAAGGAATACCATCGCTCCGTCACAGGCAAAATTCAAAAGCTGACCAAGGCGGTGGCTACTTACCACGCCAACACGGAGCGCGAGCAGAAGAAGGAAAACGAGAGGATCGAGAAGGAGAGAATGCGCCGTTTGATGGTAAGCAGCGGCACGGGAAGCGGTTTGTATGCGTGCGTGTGATGTATCGCCTGTGTGTGACGAGCTGTTACGCGTTCAGGGTGCGCACAGAGGGCTCATCTCGCTTAGCAGGGTGTCAACGATCCTCCTTTCCCTAGGCTGAAGATGAGGAAGGATACCGCAAGCTCATCGATCAGAAGAAGGACAAGCGCTTGGCCTACCTGCTGCAGCAGACGGACGAGTACGTAGCCAACCTGACGGAGCTGGTGCGGCAGCACAAGGCCGCCCAGGTGGCCAAGGAGAAGAAGAAGAAAAAGAAAAAGAAGGTGAGTTGAAAGCGAAGCTTCGCGGGGAGCTGGAATGACGTCTTTGCGGAGGCGCCGGTTTTGTCGTTTCCTTCGGCACTGGGTCGCTAACAACCATCTTCCTCCTCTTCCAGAAGGCAGAGAACGCGGAAGGGCAGACTCCGGCGATCGGACCAGATGGCGAAGTAAGCCCAATAATCTTATTTTATGCCGTGCCAAGTAGGGTAGGAAGCGTCAGCCTTGCTGAGAGGGCCCGTTACAATCCTCCCCGCTGCAAGGCCGACTACGATGATGAGATCTAACGCAGCGGGCGGCTAAACTGAGATTTCCTAAAATAGAACTTGCACCAGGATGGAAAGAGAGATCTCTCTGCCCATCATCGACGGGAATAGTTTTCTCAGGCAGGCTCTAGACCTGCCGCAGGGGAGGGCTTGGTTTCCTCCCCAGCGCATCTGAGCTTGGGCAGGTCAGTCGGGTTGGGATTCGTGTCACCTACGAGGGATCCGTAACTCTGCACGTGCGAGCGGCCCCAGCGATGCACCGGGATCGACCCTGTGCATTGAACTTCGTGCGCTCGGCGCTTTGCAGACCCCCCCTGCGAGCAGAAGAGCGTTTGAGTGATATTTCAAATGAATTGTTCCTGTATGAATGAAGTTTGGCATCTGAACGTGCCTTCCCACACAAAGATTCTTAATGTCTACATTCATTTTTCAAAGGAAAATGTTAAATCTTGTCAGCTCTCGAGCTTTGCCTGTCCTCTGGTGACGTGCTATTTCAAGCAGTCGGCCATTTTGTTCTTCCCAGTGGTCGTTGCGGTGGTCCTGGGGTGGGTTTGGTCGAAGCGCTAGATGTTGATGTAAACGCAAGCTCTGTTTCGAGGCAGAAAAAGCAAAATACTGACCCGCAGCCTGACTTTGATTCCTTAGCCGCTGGACGAGACGAGCCAAATGAGTGACCTCCCTGTCAAAGTGATCCACGTGGAGAGCGGCAAGATCCTCACCGGCACCGATGCCCCGAAGGCAGGCCAGCTCGAAGCCTGGCTGGAGATGAACCCCGGGTAAGTCCCGGGGAGGCGACGACGGGAGATTTTCTCTGGGACCCTGTGCCTCTGATCCGGAGCTCGAAGGGGAATAGGGAGCTCCGGCCGCGCGCTGGGATCGTGCCTGTAGCGGTGCTGTTCGGGGGGCTGGGATCGCCGTTCAGGGCTGGATCGGCGGGGAGGAAAGCGCTTGGCCCGGGCCCAAACCTCGGGAAGCGCAGGGAGCTGGAAGCAGTGGGGCTTGCGGATCGGGAAGGAAAGATTTCATCAGCCTCCCTCTATGCAGCCTCTAAAATTATGTGGGAAAGGCTTGCCGGAGGTTTGGTGGGTGGTCCCGGACGCAGGCTCTCGGGCTCATACGCTTTCCCGAGGGCGTGTGTGAAAACTTGAACTAAGTGAGGGGAAAAATAAATGAATAAGCATTTTATTTAAAAAAAAAACCAAAACTAATACTGATAACAAAACCCAAGTTTTAACGCAAGGGTTTCTAGAACTATGCTGATCTCGTGCTGTGTAGAGAGTGCTGTTGGTAGCAGATTTGCAATTAAATATTAATATTTGTATTTAATTAGATATGAAGTAGCTCCAAGATCTGACAGTGAAGAAAGTGGGTCAGAAGAGGAGGAGGAGGTAAGGAGAAATCCCACCAGTCTTCCTTACGCTTTCACATTTTAAATATTTTTGAGAGAACAGGAAACAGCCGTATGCACTGCTCTAAGCTCATCTCAACAATTACTTTTTCCAGCGCAGATCTGTGTCAGTCAGCTCCAATAAGTGTATTTAGAATAAGCCAAAAAAAACCCATGTAAAGAAAGCCAGGGGCAGCGAGGAGATGGCGAGCTCCTTCCGTTAGCTGCCCGGTTTTCTTCCCAAATGTTTCTCACCTAACTCTTTGGATGTTCAGAAGCAAACAGCGTAGACTCTGCTTCTGGTAGCCTCTGTCTTCGTTAGCGGACGCGGCCGTGCAGGCAGAGTCTTGGTCTGCGAGCTCCTGGGGCAGCGAGTGCTTCCCCTGGGGTTTTCAGAGCCGTCGTTGTCCACAGGCTGGGTCACTCCTGGGCGCGGCCGAGCAGGTTTTGCTGCCGTTTCCATTGTATAAACAAAAATAAGCGGCTTTGTGCTCAGAAGGGTGCGCTTTGTGTCTCCTGGCAGGAGGAGGAAGAGGAGCAACCGCAACCTGCTCAGCCTGCCCTGCCTGTGGAGGAGAAGAAAAAGATCCCCGATCCAGACAGCGACGATGTCTCAGAAGTGGATGCCAGACACATTATCGAGTGAGCCCTGCCTCTTAACCTGCTCTCGTGGCGTGCTCTCTTCTGTTTCCGAGTCACTTTTGTGAATCTCGTGTGCTTTGTGTCAAAGGAGCGAAATGCGGCGGGCGGTATTTAGTCTGCTCCCGGTTTTTGAGAGCAGTTTTTCCAAAATGAGACCTAATTTGGCACATACTGGGAGAATTAACCACCCCGGGACTGATGGGGCTGCCCAGGAGATTCTTGACCTGTATCTCCAAAGGGATCACCTTTCTTATCTCCATTTTTTTTTTTTTCCCCCCGTTTCCCCCCCAGGAACGCTAAGCAAGACGTTGATGACGAATACGGGGTGTCTCAAGCTCTGGCGAGGGGCCTGCAGTCGTACTACGCCGTGGCCCACGCCGTCACCGAGAGGGTGGACAAGCAGTCCACGCTGATGGTCAATGGAGTCCTCAAGCAGTACCAGGTGAGAGGCAGCGGAAGGGAACGCCTGCCGCACCGTACGGCCGGGCCGTACGTGCCCACGCCGTTTCTGGCGGCGCTGCCGGGAGGTTTCGGCGGGAGACGCTGAGATTTGGGCTGTGCCGAGACGCTCCTGTGGCAAGAACCGGGAGCTGAGGGCAGAGCCAGCGCGTCTGGTGCGAGATAATGAGCCAGGCTCGCTCGCTGCTTAAAACAAAGAACGTCAGCTCTCTGCGTGTGTCCGTGGTCCTGAGAGGAGAGGAATACATTAATGCCAGTGGCTGGCTTTAAATAATTAACGTGAGATCTTTAATAGCGTATAGGGCGTTCAGCTACATAATGCATAAGATGGGGGGTGGAGCGCGCAGGTCGTTAGCACATCTGATACGCGACTCCTCTGTCTGCAGTCTGATTTCTTTTTTTTTGATCCCTCCTTTTTCCCCGTAGATCAAAGGTTTGGAGTGGCTGGTGTCCTTGTACAACAACAACCTGAACGGCATCCTGGCAGATGAAATGGGTCTGGGCAAAACCATCCAGACCATCGCTTTAATCACATACCTCATGGAGCACAAACGGATCAACGGACCCTTCCTCATTATAGTACCTCTCTCGTAAGTGCGCTGCCTGAATTTGTCACCCCCTCCCAGCCCTGCACAGCACAGAAAACGCTTGGCCTGGTGTCGGTGCCGGCTCCAAGCCTCTGCGGTGTGATTCCCCGTTGCGCAAGGGCCAGTTTTACCGTTTCTCTTTCTGTTTGTTTTTTTTCCAGAACTCTGTCGAATTGGGCGTATGAGTTTGACAAATGGGCTCCTTCTGTGGTGAAGGTCTCATACAAGGCAAGTACCGGCGTTATTCTTACACGCGCCTACCGGGCTCCTTCGGCCGCTCGTTTCGTGAGGACTCCTTGGATGCCAGTTTGCCTTTTCCTCCTTCCAGTCGAACAATATTTCCATTATCCCAAGGAAGCTGGGACGCTTCCTGGCGCTAAATCGATGAAATCCACATTTGTTTTTCATTCCTTAACGGCAGAAGGAATCCAGCTGCTACCGTCTGCACAAATGTTCTCGCTGCCTTTCTGTAACTGGAAGAATTGTTCCGAGTGGATAATAACTACTCCTACACCACCTCTTTTCTCCTGGAAATCACGTTCTGCTTTAACGTTTCTCTTTGATATTCTTTCTCCAGGGCTCTCCAGCAGCAAGACGGGCATTCGTACCTCAGCTCCGAAGTGGGAAATTCAATGTCTTGCTGACTACTTACGAATATATCATCAAAGATAAGCACATCCTGGCCAAGGTGAGTCCTGCCAGCAGCAGGCAACAGCGGCTCCCTCTTCGGTGTTATTTGGGCTGCGGCAGGAGGATCGCCCGTCCTCGCTGCGCTCGTGGGCACTGCGCAGACGTCACCGAGACAGTCCCTGTCAGAAAAATCCTGCCGTTTTAAGTGAGATTTTTATCTCTGGAGTCTTTCGTCGTCACGTGGCAGGAGGCGAGGAGCTGCTGCTTACCCTCAGCAGCTAGAACTGATGTGGCTTTCTTGTTATTTTTGGCTGCATATCCTGTGATACAGCAAATATTTTTTTTCCCTTTTAATAAAGCAATTCACAGGACAATGAATATTTATTAGAACCCCTACAAGATCGTCATTGCCCTTCTGAGGAGGGTTTTTCCCGTACTTAGCCAGCAGCCACAGGGTGAAGATCAAATGTTGAGGCTTCCCCGGGGTTGGAAAGGTTGTGCTGATTCAAAAGCAGGCAGACAACGCGCCAAGTCAAAACCCTGGGTTTAACGGGTTTAATTGCGCTTGGAATTAGTTCTGCAGCACCGCTTACCTCGGTGACCGGGGTCTGCCTGGATTGTAAGATGCGTTGAAGCTGATGTGTCTCACCTCGGCAAGGCTTCCAAGGGAACCGTCTTCTCTTCTCCCTTTGTATTGTGGAGAGATAAACACGGTTTGATTAATGGCCAAAAATCTCAAGAAATACTGAAATTCCCCAAAGCTGGCAGCGGTCTCTGTCAGCTGTTTGGCATTAGCGTTCTTCCTTTTTCCCCCCACTCCTTCCGTGTCCGTCTCTGAGCCAGAGACACAAAGCGCTCCTGATGGGAGCAGCTCCCAAGGAGGACCTCAGGAGAAGTTAGAGTGGGTTTCCATGATCCCGGCTAGCTTGGATCTCTCCTGGGCGCCTCCGGAGGCCCGGGTCTACCAAGGGTTGTTGGTGGGATTCTCCAGTCATAGCTGCGGTGGAGAGGGCCGCCGTCCCTTGCCCACACCTCCCTTCTCCTTCCCGCAGATCCGCTGGAAGTACATGATCGTGGACGAGGGCCACAGAATGAAGAACCACCACTGCAAGCTCACCCAGGTCCTCAACACGCACTACGTGGCTCCGCGTCGTTTGCTGCTGACGGGAACCCCGCTGCAAAACAAGCTCCCGGAGCTGTGGGCCCTCCTCAATTTCCTCCTGCCGACCATCTTCAAGAGCTGTAGCACGTTCGAGCAGTGGTTTAACGCTCCTTTTGCCATGACGGGAGAAAAGGTACGGCGGGAAGCCGGCTGGTGACCGTTGCAGCTGGGGGGTCAGGGCTGCCGTCAGCCGCCGGGCGTTTTGGGTAGCTTGTGTTTGTAAACGCTCCCAAAAATCTCTTAATTTCCACTCGCAAGGTGCAGAGCACCTGTAAAATGTAACTTCTTTGGGACGGGTTTTACTGGAAGGCTGGAAAATAGGGAGCGTTAATTGAGTACTGGAAATGAAGGTGGGTAGACGGTTCTCCCATCGCTGAGCGCCGGCGGGAGAAGCCGGTTGGGCTCTCGCTAGTGTAATTCTCAAAGCGCGAAGCTGCTGTCGGTGCCGTTCATGGCTCTGGAGCTGTTTGAAGTGACGCCTGTTGAGTCGCAGCAGCTGAGGTTTTGCAGAGCAGGTTATCAGGCCACCGGGGGAAGATAAGTGAGCCTGAACTTTTAAAACAACAACAAAAAAATCAGTGCAGAAACCTCAGATTGCGATGATTACATCGAAGAGACTTTCGGTATCCCGGTTTCGTCGCACGCGGAGCGATGCTTTACCCTGACCCTGGGAATCTTGCTGCCGTTGAGGGACGCTGAGGAAGGGAACTTCCAGGCGTCCTTGTGTAACGGTTCCCTTTCCCGGTGACGCAGGTGGACCTGAACGAAGAAGAAACCATCCTGATCATTCGGCGTTTGCACAAAGTGCTGCGCCCCTTCCTGCTGCGGAGGCTGAAGAAGGAAGTAGAAGCGCAGCTGCCTGAAAAGGTAACGGCCGGGAGAAACTGTCCAGCTCTTCCCCCTGTGTTTGTGGGGCTTTATTCAGCTCCATGAAGAGGTGGCTGGGTTGATTCATCCGAGATCGGGGGACTCGGGGTCTCCCCGGGCTTTAGAAGTGGATGAATTTGTGCCACGCTTCCCAAGGATCAGGGTTTTGGAGGTGCTCGCTGGCATCGCCTCGGGAATTAACCTCTCCTCGGTCCTTGCAGGTGGAGTACGTGATCAAGTGTGACATGTCCGCCCTGCAGAGGGTCCTCTACAGGCACATGCAGGCCAAGGGGGTGCTGCTCACGGATGGCTCCGAGAAGGACAAAAAGGTCTGGCCACCCAAGTCCCTGCTCTTTGGCGCGTTGCTCCGTTGTCGGAACGGGGCTGGAAACGCCTCCGGGGATGGGGGTGTCTGTTCTGTCCCCAGTTGTTGCATCAACAGATAGAGCAAAAACCCCTTTTATGAGCAAAACAAGGAGTCCTGGGGGGCTCAGAGCAGTGGGCCAAGGCCCCGCGCGGGGGGGTGGGTCGAGCTTGGCCCCAGCGCGAACCCCCGAGGCGAGCCGTGAGGATTGTGGTGGGTGTAATCCACCCACGGAGGCCTCCGACCTGCTTTTCCAACTGATCAGAAAGTCAAATTAATTAGAAAAAAAAAAAAAATTTAAAAAGACATTTTGGTCTGAACTAAAAGCTGGAGGTGAAAAATTCCTTGTTCTTCAGCTCCGCTCCCCCAAAGCAGCTGGCTCTCTAGCAGCCTTTGGTCCTTAAACTCCTCAAGGTGACTTTAACATCTATATTAAAACCTTGAACTTCTCCCCTTGCTGACTGGGGTGAGCCTGGCTGCCCGCCCAGGCAGTCCCGCTGTGGGTCCAGTGCCTCTAGACACAGCTCCAGCTAGATCTGGGCAGTGCTGAAGCCTCGGGGCTGTGAACCCCCATCTAAATACTCCCAGAATATTCCTCAGGAACACCCGGATAGCTATCGCAGTCAGTAAACTTAAATTCACGTTTCTAATTTCCTGTCTCGTTTGCGCAGGGTAAAGGCGGTACGAAAACCTTAATGAACACGATCATGCAGCTGCGGAAGATCTGTAACCACCCCTACATGTTTCAGCATATAGAGGTAACGTGGGCTCAGGGCTGGCACGCGCGGTCATCGCACGCTCTCTGGAAACGTGGAAAAACTGTTCCGTCCCCCTCCTAAACGGAGATAAACCAAATGGCTCTTGTGGCTGCGGCACGGACCGAGCGTTAACCACCCGGCTGCTCGGCCAGCCGAACGTCAGCCCTCGGCGCGGCACTGTGCCCATCAGGCTTCCTTCGAAACGCTCCTTTTTGCCACCCAAAACGGCCTGAAATCTGTTCAAGCGAGCTCGGTGAAGCCATATCGCCTAAAAAGAGCAGGCAGCCCTTTTAAAATCGCTCCATTCCTGCGCCTGCTTCCCGAGGCGCTTCGGCAGCGGGATCTCTGCCGTCGCCGGTCCTCCCTGCCCGTCGCTGGTCCTCCCTGCCCGGCCCCGAGGGCCAGTTCTCTTCTAGGCCGGTTCCAGGACTTTGTTGGATTTATTTGCGTGCGAGGACAGTTTCTGACGACGTTTCTCTTTCTGATCGCAGGAATCCTTTTCCGAGCACTTGGGGTTCACGGGAGGTATCGTGCAAGGGTAAGTAGGGTATTTTAGAGTTATAGCAAGTGGGGATATTTGCGTCTTTTCCTTGTGAAATGGTTTATCGGTGCGTGGTAAATGAGCGGGCGATACTGTCGTGAGCACGGATAATCCTTACGCGAGGGGGACGCTGTGTTTTTAGCATCAAATCCTTATTTCCCTCTTCTCTTCCCTCCCAGACTGGATCTGTACCGTGCCTCGGGCAAATTTGAGCTCCTCGACAGAATTCTCCCCAAACTGCGAGCCACCAACCACAAGGTGCTGCTCTTCTGCCAGATGACCTCCCTCATGACCATCATGGAAGATTATTTTGCTTATCGTGGATTCAAATACCTCAGGCTGGACGGTGAGTGCCTCTGACGCGCGGGGACGGCAGCCCCCCCCTCGGTTACTTTCGGCTCGTGGTGAGGATAAACCCCTCGCGTGGGGCCGAGCAGTGAGGTAAGCTCCTACGGGTTCACCGACCCGGCGTCTGTCGCAAGGGAAATACGTCTGAAACAAACAGCCTGTCGTAAAGCAATTAACCCTGCTTGCAGGATGCGGGTTAAAGCAATAAACCTTGCAGGATGCAGGATAAAAGATATAAAGTGCAGCCTTTGACTTTATACGTGGTCGTCAGCTGCTGCTTCAGTTACAGTTTTCATTTTTAAATTCAGCCGATCTGCTGTTTAATTCTGGAACCCTGAAGGACACCATTAGGTGGCCTCTAACGTTATTAAAATAATACAATAATTAATTAGTTGGGTTCCAGGTTTAAGTCGGAAGGCGTGCAGCTTAGTTGGTGCACAAATCTCATCTGGTAGAAAAAGGAAAGTCAATTTGCCGTTTTCAGTTGGAATAAACCACTGAACATATGTAAAGACGCCCGCGAAGCCGTGGGGCTGCTGAAGCCTGTGCAGACCCAAACCCTCTTTGCCAGCAAAGAGCGGTGCTGACTCTTTAAAGAATCGACCTTCCGAGAGAAGCATTAAGCTACTGACAAAACGAGGTGCAGAACGAGACCGAAGCGGTTATCTAAACCAAGGTTTCTCCCTCGCAATCGGTCTCTCGGAGCCGTTTGCTCGCAACGTTTAACGACTTCCAGCACGGGATGGGTGTTAGCGCGGCGGCGTGCTCGCGGCCGGCACCTCACCCGTCCCTTTCCGCTCAGAGCCGGGCGGTAACTCGCCCTTCCCCAGCGCCCAGCGGGGAGAGTCGCGG